TCCGGTCTCCGGCGCGCCCACGCTCACGGCGCGCGCCCGCCCCTCCTCCGGCGCACGCACGCGGAGCCGCGACCCCTACACGCGCGCGCTTACACTCAAGCTGCCTAAACTGGGAATGAAGTATAACATGAATGAAGGTATAACATGTATTTAGTAAAGTGCATAAGTCTTAAGTATAAAACTAAAAAAACACCCAATCCATTGCCGTGGAGACGATTCCGACTCACAAGACAGAGTAGAACTGCCCCACAGAATTTCCAAGGAGCGGCTGGTGAATTCAAACTGCTGAATTTTTGGTTAGCAGCCGTAGCTCTAACCGGGGCTCCAGTCACAAGTATACACGTTGATGAATTTTTACATGTTCATATAAAAACCCATTGCCATCGAGTCGATTACGACTCATAACGACCCTAGGACAGAGTAGAACGGCCCCAAAGCGTTTCCAAGAAGTGGCTGGTGGATTTGAACTGCCGACCTTTTGGTTAGCAGCCGTGGCTCGCTGTAGCTCTTAACCACTGCGCCACCAGGGCTCCCATATTCATACAATGCATACGTATTCATGATGTAATCTCCATCCAGATTGAGATGTAGAACATGTCCACACTCATGAAGGTCTCCCATCTCTCCCTGTTTTCTTCTTGCTGCTTATAGTGAAATGAGAGAGAAGAGAGCTAAGCAAAGGGAAGTCTTTTAAAACAGGAAGGAACGGGAACTGGATGATTTTGAAAATTCTCTGTCTCTTCAGACCGCAAATGATGCTAAAGTTAAGAAATAGCTTCCTAAGAAAGATCAAACCAGGATACTGCCAGTAATGCCAAAGATAACACTGATGATGTGACTGTAAAATCCTTCTTAAATTCTCTTATCAAAGCTGGTGCCTCAGAGTCCCATTCAGTCAGAGATGAAGGGTGTGCCTCACAAGTCCCCCCAATCAAACAGTAGGGTTTCCAGGAAGGTTAAGGGCTTCTCCCTTCGCATTATCAGGAGAAGCCCAAGGTAGAGATGGGCTTATCTAGAAAGAATTTGTGGGTGTGGCTTTTGACTAGTGAAATGAACCCCCATAAGATGCACAGGAGACCTACAGCGTTTTAAAGAGAATTATATCAGCAGAAACACTGCAGCTTGGACTGAAAGGGACAGAGACAGTACAAAATGAAGAGTCCTTTGGAACCCCAAAATTTTACAAGCAGGAAGCAGGCTGAGAAAACTGTGCATCTGAAAACATGCTATCTTTAATGAAAAAGAAAATATAACTCAGAGGGTGCAACAAACAGCCCAGAGGATGGAACTGAGAGCTATGGAGAATCATTCCTTGACCATTTCAGAATTTCTATGGACCAGTAACTCCTTTCTGCCCTCCATCCTGCCCCCTCACCCCCACTTTTTTTGAACAGAAATGTCTATAATGTCTACCTTATGATTGCTCCACCATTGTATATTGAATGTGTTGGGGGAAGATAATTTGTCTCTTTAGTTTCACAGGTCTACAGATCAAGAATTGTACTCTAGGAGCTGGACCTAAGGAATTAGATTCAGTGAGATTCATCCACACCTGACTTAATATAGATAACAAAATTCTGGACTTGGAGCTGATGCTATAATAGGATGAAACTTTGGGGAACTTTGGGTGGGGAAAAGTGTGGTTTGCATGTTGGATGGTCACCAAAATCAGTGGCCAGAGAGTAGATTGTGTTAACCAACCTTCAAGATGGTCTTCAATGATCTCCACCTCTTGATATTCACCCCCTTGTGTATTCCCTCCTGTTGAGGGTGTATTGTACTTAGTGACTCTTTTATTGTGAATAGAAGGCAGAGGTGATGATGTGACTTGGAGATTAGTCATAAAGGCAGCATGGCATACCTTTCTCTCAAATCCACTTGTTGTAGGGGATGCCAACTTCCTTGTTAGCATCCTTCTGGAAAATCCCACAATCACAGAACTGAGGTCTTTTAACAACAGCTACGAGGAACAGCCTCCTTCCTACAACCACATGAACAAGCCATCTTGGAAGTGGATCCACACAAGCCAGGAAGTGACTTAATTCCAGCCAATAGCTTGACTGCAACCTCATGAGAGATCCTGAGCCAGCTGAGTCACTCCTGAAACTAGGTGGAAGAATAAATGTTGTTTTAAGTTGCTAAATATTGGGGGTAATTTGTTACGCAGCAATAGATGACTAATACATCATTGAAGGACTATACTGCAATTTATTAATTTATTCTCCTGCTGATGGACATTTGGGTTGTTTCAGTTTTGGAGTTATTATAATAATGCTGCTAGGAATATTCTTGTATACATCTTTTTGTGGACATATGCACTCAAAATCTCTTGAGTATATACCTAGAAGTCAAATTGCTAGGGGTTGACATATGTTTAGCCTTAAAGCCACTGCCAGACAGTTTGTTCTAAAGTTGTATCAATTTACGTTCCCATCAGGAATGGATGAGAGTTTCAATTGTTCCATATCCTCCACAAGCTTGGTATTGTCAGTACTTTTAATTTTAGCCATCTTAGTGTTGTATAGTGCTATCTCATTGTGGTTTCAACTTGCATCTTCCTGTTGAATCATGAATGTCTTGGTTATCTAGTGCTGCTATAACAGAAATACCACAAGCAGATGGCTTTAACCAACAGTTTATTCTCTCAAAGTCTCGGAGACTAGAAGTCTGAATTCAGGGGGCCAGCTCCAGGGGAAGACTTTCTCTCTCTGTTGGCTCTGGAGGAAGGTCCTTGTCATCAATCTTCCCTTGGTCTAGGAGCTTCTCAGTGCAGGGACCCTGGGTCCAAAGGACATGCTATTCTCCTGGCTCTTGTTTCTTGGTGGAATGAGGTCCCCTTGTTTCTCTGCTTGCTTCTCTCTTTTATATCTCAAAAGAGATTGACTTAAAACACACGGTAATCTTGCAGATTGAGTCCTGCCTCATTAACATCATAGAGGTAGGATTCACAACACATAGGAAAATCACATCAGATGACATAATGGTGCACAATCACACAATACTGGGAACCATGGCCTAGCCAAGTTAACACACATTTTGGGGGAACACAATTCAATCCATAACAATGAAGTTGCGCACGTTTTCATATCCTCATTGGCCATTTGGATAGCCTCTTTTTGAAGTACTGGCTCAAGTCTGTGGTCTATTTTTTAATCGATTTTTTTAAACTGATCTGTAGGAGTTCTCAATATATTCTGAATATGAGTCATTTGTCTATATATATATATATATATATATATGTAAATACCTTCTCCCACTCTGTGGCTTTCCTTTTCACTCTCTGGTGGCGCAGTGGTTAAGAGCTCGGCTGCTAAGCAAAAGATCGGCAGTTTGAATCCACCAGCCACTCCTTGGAAACCCTATGGGGCAGTTCTACACTGTCCTATAGGGTCGTTATGAGTCGGAATCAACTCAATGGCAACAGGTTTGGCTTTTTCTTTTCAATGATGTCTTCAATGAACATAAGTTCATAATTTTAACAAAGCCAATTTACCAAACCAGAACCTTCTGATAGTGAAAGGTGACACTACTAATACAGTCACCCTGCTCAGTGACTGTTGTGTCCAATGCCCACCCTACCGTAATGGGGCAATTGACACTTAGAGTGATGTGTTCAGCTTACTCAGTTTGTTCAAGGCCACAGAGCAAGTAGTGAGCTAATTCTAAGAGTCCCTGGTGGGGTAAATGGTTAAGTACTCACCTACTAACTGAAAGGTTGGTGATTCTAATCCACCCAGAGATGCCTCAGAAGAAAGGCCTGGCAATCTACTTCCAAAAGATCACTCTATGGAATGCAGCTCCATTCTGAAACACAGGGGGTCTCCATGAGGAGGAATCAACTCGACAGCAACTGGTTTGATTTTGGTTTGGTCTGGATTAGTCTCACTCCAAAACCTTTGGCATCAAAGACGTTCATAAATTGTCTAACATCAATGACAATCCCACTACCACTCATACCTGTTAGTGCTTTGGTGTTTGCAAAACACTTTCGTGCACATTGTCTCACTTATGCCTCTTGCCACTGATAGATAGTCAGGCTGGGACGGAGGCAGAGGTATCCAGGCTGTGGAGAATTCCACTGCCTCAAGCAGCTTTGCATCAGAATCCTGTTTCCTTTGCTTGGCCTGGCCCCACAACTTTGCATTAAAATCCTAGTTCCCTCGGTTGGCCTGCCGCATAAAAAATCCTGGCGATGCATGAAGCTGTATGTAAACCCCATTGCACCTGTGTAGTATGATTTAAGAACGTTGCTGATGTAACTTGTATGAACTCCCTACTTGTAAACCTTAAAAATAACCTTTCCCCTCGCCCTCGCTGAGCAATCTTGGCAGCAGCAGCTCCGACTGCCTCCTTTCCTTGCACAATGAAAGAAAGGTGCCTCTTCTGCTCTCCCACCTCAGTCTCTCGTTTATTGTCCAATACCAGTCACACTGAGCAGAACCTGGGGTTTCTACCTGGTAACAGGACCACGGGTCTTTATTTATAACACTGGAAAACTGAGCGCCAATCTGTGACACTTGTGCAAGCAGGATCCCCCCAAATTATTGCTAGTGGGGCACTGGGTGAGCAAGCCTAGACATACTCCATCCCTTCCCCTATGCACACTGTTGGAGCTCAAAAAATATTGTTTACATGAATATTAAAGCAGTATTTAGTGAGCACCTGATGTTTTGCAGGCTCTGATGGGTGGTGAGACACAGAGCTGACCAACACCATAACCTGTCTTCAAGGAGCCTACAGTCTGGTAAAATAGGGAAGAATTCTTTCTCTCTAAAACGTCCCCTAAGGACCTACATGAAGCCAGGCTGCCAGGAGGGGCTGAGGACAGAGCCTGAAGCGATCCTCTACCTTGGGGAGCTTACAGTCTGGTGGAGAGTCCCTAAGAAGCTGCTGACCACAACAACCCAAGGCAGTGAGAAATCTCCCCCAGAACAAAAGCACAAAAGAGAGAGGAAGGGGCGGCTCGCACCAGCGGTTTCTGTGGTAGTCAAGAGCAGGGACCCCCGGTTAAAAAAACCCTTGCCCAGTCGATTCCGACTCATCGCGACCGTATAGGCAGGGCGGTGGACCCAAATCGCTCTGGGTTCAAATTCTGACCATAAGCATGGTTTCTAGCCAGCTACCCACCTGTAATATGGGCCTCTCTCATACGTTTGTTGTGGGGGTTAAACGAGTTAATTCAAATTTGTTAAGCACTTAGAGCAGCGCTTGCTTGAACGCCAGCCAGTCTTGTTATTCATTCATGAGGGATGGGTCACTTTAACATTAAAACAATAATAAAAACCCGTCCCGAGAAGCCCTGCAGAAGAGATAGCTAGCCACTTCCGCCCCCAAAGGCGGATTAGAGGACGGGCGGGACAGGGCGCGCGGAAGCAGGGGCGGCGGCGTGCGCGCTGCCGCGGTGGAGCCCCATTACGTGTGCGCGCCCGCGCCTTGGGCCTGCCGGAGGCGGGACCGTAAAGGAGCCCAGTCACGTCGTGAAAGGCCGCAAACACGCAGAGCTCTGCTTGACGGCGCCAGTCCATTTTGTTGGCCCCTTCGCTGCCTGCGCGGGAGGCCCCTGTTGCCGTGGTATCCCTGAAGCGAGCGACTTAGAAGGAAGAAAGGAAATTCCAGCTTATCCGGGAACACGATTCATCCCAGCAGTCACCGATGCTCGACCGTCCCCAAGGGGCGCGAGTAAGGCCCGTGGGTCCCGCGGCCCCGAAGCAGCAGAAGATGCGGCCCCTGGACGTGGTGGAGCTGGCGGAGCCCGAGGAGGTGGAGGTGCTGGAGCCCGAGGAGGACTTCGAGCAGTTCCTGCTGCCGGTCATCCACGAGATGCGGGAGGACATCGCGGCGCTCACCCGCGAGCGCGGCCGGGCCTACCTGCGGACCCGGGGCAAGCTGTGGGAGATGGACAGTATGCTCCTCCAGATCAAGACGCAGGTGGAGGCGTCGGAGGAGAGCGCGCTCAACCACCTCCAGAACGCCGACGACGGCGCGGCCGCCAGGGGCGAGAAGGCCGAGGAGAAGGCCAGGGAGATGGCCAAGATGGCAGAGATGCTGGTGGAGCTGGTGCGGCGGATAGAGAGGAGCGAGTCGTCGTGAGCGGGGTCGGCCGCAGAATTCGCCCCAAGCTCGATCAGACAGCTCCTGTGGAAATACTAGTAGGCGAGGGGCGAACCCCCAGTTTCATTGCACCAGAAGCTGGGCGGTGGGACGTCACTGAATTTTACATGTAGAAATTGTTGAGTCGGCAGATGTTTTGGTGTGTATATTCACCCCCCCCCCAAAAAACAATGAACAAGGATTGGGCAGTGAGAGCGAAGGGGGGTCAAGGGGAAAATAGGTGGGCGCCAGGTGTTGGTTAGGAGTTAGCAGATACTGGTATTGTGCAGCCCTTTCCCTCCTCCTGGTAATTAGGTAGAAATAACCAGGCTTGTGTTTTGTGAAACATAAGAATCAATTCTAACAAGACGGTCGCCAGAGGTAGACCCGCCTGGGTACCAAGGGGGGTGGGGAAACCAAACAAAACCTAGGTCGTAGAGGAAAACGGGAGAGTGAAAACACGGGGGAGGGGAATAGAAAGGCCCAGCTTGTTCTAGAAGGCGGGTGTCAGAGCGTCCCGTCTTTTTCTAGAAGGCGGGCGTCCCGTCTAAAAGAAACCGCATTCTCACCGGTGGTTAGTTTTTTTAAACATCAGGATTGGGAGTTGGAGAGTCAGAACGTCTTGATGGTAAATTTATTCCCATTGTGCTACAGGTTCACAGCTGGTAGACGGACTCCTTGAAGAAACAGTTTGTCCTTTTCGTTATTTTGTATGTTTTTGACCCCAACATAACCGTCTCCCTGTGGCCGGTGGCTGGTGACCTGGATATGGGTTTAGATTGTCAGATGTTCTCATAAGGAAAATGGGGCTTACACAGACGTTTCGGTGGCCTCGTTCCAGTTATTTTGCTGTGTGTTTGAAATGCTGGGCATGGCCTTGTGTTTTGCTGTTACCTGTATGACCTGCCTGATAGCTTCCTGGAACTTTGGAACACTTGAAGACTTGGAGTCAGGATCTTCAGCTTTAGGAGGCACTAGGTAGTGCTTGCTAGCTGGTGGAGAAAGCATGCGTGAGACTGCTTTGGACGAGACTGGGAATTGGAGTTGAGTTGGAGATGAAAGATGGGTTTGTATATATTTCAAAACTTTAATTGCTCTATGAGACAAAGGAGAGATATGTTTTGTGGAACATTGTCTGATGTATATTGTGTAACCCTGTCAGGTGAGTTTATTTATACAACCTGGCTGACCTTATGTGACAGATGTTTGACTAAGGAATGATGGAGTAGCTTCACTGTTGTCAGACCCTCACACATTCCAGGGGCTTCAGAGTATAGCATCAAAGAGACAGTTTACAAAGGGCCTTGAGAGGCTGGAGCGAGGAAAGGATTCACCAGGGCTCATGAAGTCCCTTCTTGTTCGTCAGGTGTCTTAGTCATCTAGTGCTGCTGTAACAAGTACCACAGGTGGATGGTTTTACCAAAGAGAACTTTATTCTCTCAGTCTAGTAGGCTATAAGTCCAAATTCAGGGCATCAGCTCCAGGGGAAGGCTTTCCCTGTCGGCTCTAGAGGAAGGTCCGTGTCATCAGTCTTCCCCGGTCTAGGAGCTTCTCCACGCAGGAACCCCGGGTCCAAAGGATGCACTCTGCTCCCGGCACTGCTTTCTTGGTGGTATAAAGTTCCCATTTCTCTCAAAAGAGATTGGCTCAAGACACAACCCAATCTTGTAGATTGAGTCCTGCATCATTAACAAACTGCTGCTAATCCCATTCTATCAACATCATAGATAAAGGATTTACAGTACATAGGAAAATCACATCAAATGACAGAATGATGGACAGTCACACAATACTGGGAACCATGGCCTAGCCAAATTGATAAACACGTTTGGGGGACACCATTCAGTCCATGACATCAGGGTAGTAGACCTTACAGGGATTTGAGGTCAAAATCAGACATGTAACGAGCGTTCATGTCCTTGAAAAAGATGTTTTTTAAATAAATTTTTTGTTGCGATGACCAGAGGTCCTATGTGTGTTAATAAAAGACTTTTGAGATGAGTGTTCTTCCTTGAGTTGTCACCATCACGTGGGGATGGGGTCCACAGGAAGTCTTCACCTGTGAGGGAGAATTGTCTCTGGAAGGTGCTGTGGGGATGAGATCACAGAGCGCTCAGTTCTTAACAGAAAAGAGTTGTAGACCATCCTGTGATCCAAGCCCTGCTTTTTGCCAGCTGGAGCATTTCCTCATTCAGTCCCAGGGCCGTGTGGATTGGGTGAGGTGGGGCACAGAAGTGGAAATGAGTAAGTATAGAGTGATTTACTATTTTGGGGGGAACACCAGGGAGGGTGGCAGCACTTTTTGGGGGAGTCTGGGAACGCTTTTCAGAGCAAGTGGCTTAACTGGGCCTCAGATGTTGAGTACAGCTTCTGAAAGTAGAAAGGTGTGAAGGTGTCTGAGGCCCGGGGAGCAGTATGAGCAAAGACTGGGTGAGTCCACCTGGGGAGATAGCTGGTGAGTTGGAACTTACGGAGCGTGGCCGGAGTTGTGGAAGAGGTAAGCCAGGGTAAGGCCACGGAGGTCTTTATTAAGGAGTTAGATACTATTTATAAGCCTGTGCTGCAGCTGAGGCATCTTCTCAGAGTGCTGCTGGACACTCAATGCCACAGAACAGGCAGTGCAATTTCTGGGACTGCAAAATTATCTTGCCGAGAACACATATGTTTGTAATAACAAGCTTAGATCTAGATTCTGGATTAATGTGTAAAATTAAAAAAAGAAAACCATTGCCGTTGAGTCAATTCCGACTCAGCAACCCTATAGGACAGAGTAGAACTGACCCATAGATTTTCCAGCGAGCAGCTGGTGGATTCAAACTGTCGACCCTTTGGTTAGCAGCCTAGCTCTTAACCACTGTGCCACCAGGGTTCCAGTGTGTAAAACAGACATCTTTAAAATAAGGTGAGCACAAAGACATATTTACAGAGACTGTTCCTGGGTGTTGTCTGGTCTCCTGCTCCTACCATTCTGCGTTCTTCAGTGCGCACAGAAGTACCGCTGGGAATCATGGAAACTCTCTGTGTGGGGGAGTGGCAATGATCACACTGGCAGTTTGGAAAGGTTCCTCACACTGCGGTGTATACATTATAGGGTCTGAGTGAGGCAGGAAGATGGGTGCTGGTGCGGCTGCACGCCTGGGAGTCGAGGGCCTGAGCTGGAGCCGAGGAGCAGAAGGGCCAGCCACTCCTGGGGTTCACACTTGGCATGTTTCTCCCATCAGTCCCCTAGACTAAGTTAAACTACCGTAACGATGGACTCCAAGTTCTCAGTGGTTGACAACAACCAAGGTTGAGTTCTCTCTCACGTTCATGTACGTGGCAGGTTGGTTGGTCCAGGTCCTCTTAATTCCAGGACCCGCCTGAAGGAGCAGCCCCTTTGGGGTCGTGCGGCTCTTGATTTGGAATGCTGTCAGTCATAGGCTTCACTGATGCAGAAAGAGATGCTTTGGGGAAAAAAGCTGAATACTATACACACACACATACACGTATTTATAGTGTACAGTATACTTTCCCCTTAAGTAACCAACCATAGGTTAATTCATCCACAGGGTTTCATTTCATTTCTTCAAGTATCCCAGGGTTTGTGTCTAGCCTTCTCCTTGTTCAGAGACTAGTCTTCTGACCTGCTCTTGACCTTTGACTCTTATGTAGAGTATTGTGGTGACATTAATTGTCTTAACCCCTGCTGCAGGTGAAGATTCCTTCCTGTAGAATGGAAGCTTCTTGAGGGCAGGGACTTTGTTCACTGCTAAATTCTTAGCACTGAGACCGGTGCCTGCCTGACACATGGTTAGTGATGACTAAGTACTGGCTGGATGAAGGAGTGATAGTAAGGTATAAACTAAAGTTAATTATGTCTGCTACCAATGGATACAACTGAAGTTTCCGGTTCATTCTTGCCACCTCCCACTTCGTCAACATCCCCTTCCCCATCCACTCACTAATGCCTGCTGATTCTACCTCCAGAATACATCTTGGATTTATCCACCTCTCTCATCCACTCCAAGCTGCTAAGACAGTCGCCTCCTAACCGGCCTCCTGCTTGCAGCTCTGCTGCAGTCCTTCCCTTCTTCATGGCTCAGCCAGAGTGAATTGGGCCGTGTCAGTTCCCTCCTTAAAAGCTTAAAAAAAAAAAAAAAAATTTTGTTTTTGCCACAGATGCTTCTTATTTATTCATAAATATTTACTTAGCTCCTACGGTATGCCAGGTGGAGCCCTGGTAGCACAGTGGTTAAGAACTCAGGATGCTAACTAAGAGGCTGGCAGTTTGAATCCGCCAGCTGCTCCTTGGAAACCCTAGGGCGCAGTTATCCTTTGACCTGTAGGATTGCTGAGTCGGAATCGACCCGACAGCAACAGGCTGTATGCCAGCCGCTGTTCTAGGCACTGGACACGCAGCATCGAACAAACGGTCCAGATGTTCTCCTCCCCTGGAGTTTCGTTCTGGTGGAGACGCACATAAGCAGGCTAAGTCTCAAATCGCATGTTACCTGGGGATAGGTGCTAAGAATAATCATTCATTGAGCATATAGGGTGCATATGTATTCAGGAGTTCCCGTCATCCTCCAGAGCTGTCTCATCCTGGTTTTCCTCAGTCACTGCCCAAAATGTCAGCTCCTCCTTCAGTCCACTCTCAAAACTTGAAGCTTCAGAACGTTCCATCTTTCCTCTCCCCTAACTCACCTTCCTCTCACCTCTTCACAAATGCCCTCCAATACCACCTCGGCCAAGGTCTGGCTGTGAACACTGGCCTCTCTGCAGCCTCACTGGATAACTTCCCCACACTCTACGTTCTTGGAGCCCTGATAGTGCAGCGGTTAACGGCTCGGCTGCTAACAAAAGGTCAGCAGTTCGAATCCACCAGCCACTCCTTGGAAACTGTGGGGTGGTTCTGCTCTGTCCTGTAGGGTCACTGTGAGTCGGAACGGAATCGATAGCAATGGACACTCAGGTTTCTGGGTGAAACCGCAAACGTCGCTATGTAGTTACTTCCAAAGCTGCAGTTTGCCAGGTGGTTGCAAGTTCTAAAAACATCTGTGTATGTGTGTGTGTACATACATGCATATACACAGGGTAGGCGTCCTGGCGGAGGAGGAGCATGTGTGTGTGTGT